GGGAAAGATGAAATTTAAAATGCAAAGAAGGAAATAATGCTACAAACGTATGGTAGGAGATGTAGCCATGATCCTACAGTATAGATACATATGCTTGCAACTACAGTTAATGAAGATGTCATTTGATTTTCTATGATTCTCTGAGGCTAAAATTCAGCCCATTCCCCCTGCCCCCCCAGCCAGGAGCAGGCAGCTGGGGGCTCGGGGGCAGCCCCAGGCACCTCCCTGGGGATGGGAATGGGCCAAGGCTGAGCTGGGAGTGGGCCCGGCTCAGTGGGGCCAGTGGCCGGGCAGGGCTGTGGGGAGCTGGAGACCGGCCCTGCTGCGGCATCGCTGGGGTAGGGGCTGACGTGGGGTGCTGGGCCAGTGAGGAGCCCTGGGGGGGCCAGGCAGGGACAGCCAGGCCTGGGGGTGCCGTCAGGGCCCTGGAACTTTTATTGGTTATCAGTTGGCTGTATTTGTAACAGCAGTCACTTTTTTTTTGCTTTTATTTTGCCAGTTTAGGCAATATTAAAGGGCTGATTTAATTTTTCCTTTGCCTTCTCACTGGAGAACATAAGTCATACAAAGTGATAATTCTAAGCAAAACAAAACCAGAAGCTAATTCTGTCTGAGAAGAATTATGTGAAGATTTGGGTAATTAAATTGGTAGTAGTTAGAATCATAGTTTAATTACAAGTATAGCTGTAAATGTGTGTTAAGACCAGTTGAAATCAAGGAATTTATGGTGTTAGGAGACATTAAACTGTTCTTCCTAAATTTTGCTTCTTTATTATTTTCTTGGAGATACATCTATGAACAGATTAAAAATAGCCTTATATCTTTATGAAGGGAGTACCACAATGTAAATTGTAAATTTGAAGTTGCATATTTCAGTAACTTTGAATGTACCTTTCATTCATAAGTGCAGTATTTTGAGTTAAATAATAAAGCAATATGAGAATCAAGCAACCACAAAATTATTCAAACAAGCAATCTGGGGTATGATGGAACATTCATAAGCAAATAATATTCTTAAATTTAATTTAAGTAATAAATGCTTAAATACAAACAAAGAAATTACTTGTGGTGAGTTTATAAAGCTGCCGGTGCTTTGAACTGGATATCATCCCTTCATAACTTAGTTTCCTGCTTAGACTCAAGCTCATTCCTAAAACATCACATTAGTTTAATGGCTCTTATTGCTTTGAGGTCAATGGAGCTATGTCAGAGGAAAAAGTGGTATAAAAATCCTAAAGTTTTGCATCAATTTTATATTTCTTACATCTTGCTCTGCCTTCACAGTTAGCAAAAACCTGTAACAGCCATTGTAGCCAAGAGCATATGAAACACATAGTTTTAAATGTGAGTTGAAAGAGGAAACCAATAAACAATTTAGCTGATATTTCATCAGCCTGCAGACATCCTCACTCCTGAATTTTGGCTTCTGGTCGAAGTCAGTTGTCCATGTTTTTGCATCATTTCCTTTTAACACTCCTATGTGTAATTGTTATTGATTGATTTATTTAATGTACCTATGGTTCAGTTTATGTCTGTGGAAATTTCATGTATGCCTATACTTTTTCAAGTAGTAATGGGGAAGAGGGAAATAGAAAGTTTCAGTAATTGCTGAGACCGTAGATTATAAAGGATTCTGTACTACAGAGGGTATAAAAGCTAATCCTCAAAGCATTCTACACAAAATAACAGAAATCTGTAAAGTGCAGATTATTTATTTCATGTGGCATGTGCTAGTTGCATATCAGAGACTCAGAAAATATGTTTCTCTTTTAACCTTTGGTGTGCACAATTTTCCAGTGAACCTCACTGCTTAACTTCTGATAGTTTTCAAGTCGCCAAGTGTGGTTGCATATACATGAATATGTGAATGGATATAGGGGTGGTTTTGTGGGTGAGATGACAAATAGTTCTTAATGCTTTTCAGCAGAATAGGTGAGTTTTAATCTTTTTATTTATGGAACGGTCTCTAGTCACAGTCCAGGAATTTAACATCATCTAAGACTTTCAAAACTCCCAGTTATTTGGTAAAAATGGGTCACAGTGTTGGAGCATGTTTTACAAAGATCTGCTTACAGAACAGAAGAAATTAAAGTAGAAATCGGAAATATCAGAAATACATCCAGAAAAATCCCAAAAGAAAGGAAGATGTTTGGATCTTCTTTTTTGTTTGTTTTCCATATTTCTTCTTTATTTCAATTTTTTTCTCAACTTATTGTTTGACCACAATAATTTCCATTGTTTCTTCAAATTATTTCTTCTGCAATGTGAAGATCTGAAAGGACTTCTTACAGACAGCGGACTGTTAGCGTGAATCACTGTAATTTAGTATTGCACGCATTTGACATTTCTGAACTCATTGTTGCTGGTAGGCCTAATGCCAAGAGTGACATGGTCTTTAAGCACTCTCTCCTTCTTTGCTAGTAACTTATGGATCTCTTGTATAATCGACTTTTGAGATCCAGTGAAAGTCTGGACTATGAAGAGATTGAAAACTAGATTGGGCAAGTCTCTGAAAAATAGACTACACAAAATGTATATACTATGACTATACAAACTGTATTGGGAAGAGGATGCAGCAGTGGACAACTAGTAACACTTAAACATATATGTGTTTATATATACATCTATATATATCTTCATACTTTTACACATCTTTTAACAATCCTTTTTTCCAAACTGTTTATAGTCTCTAACATGGAATAAAGGGAGAATGCATGTAAGCAGTTCACATAGGGGAGATTATATGGGATGAATGGGATGGATTTCTAGGAGAAATAGGCATTCAGGAAATATGATTTCAAGGAGAAGGGAAAGATAAAAAGTTCTTGCTAGACAAGAAAAGGGAAACTTTCCCATCTTAAGGGATCCAGTGAACAATATATTGGAAAGGATAAGAGGGAAGAAAGAAATGATTGGTTGAAGAAGCTGTAAATGCTACAAAAAGAAACAAGAAGACAGTTTAGTTGGTGTTACAAACTAACATCTGTCAAAGATTAACAGACAGTATTACATGAAATCATAATTATCCTCCACACTTTGAAATTCCTATAGCAGTATACAATCAACGCAAATGTTTTCAGGGGAAATTACATGTAGAAAAAAATTAATAATTACATAAGAACTTGAGCGTAAGAGAGAGGAACTGTCTTTTTTGCAGTGAGTTCTGATCTGAAACAAGAGGAGCCAACAACTCTGGACAACAAGTCAGGACTCACATCAAGAAGTTAGAGAGACAGTTAGAGTTGATACATTCAATGTTTGGATGAGCTGAAAGGTGGAGATGTGAATCCGAGTAAAAATGAACAGAAAAATGCTGCATAGCAGTGATTCTGTGGAGAAAGTAGTAAGGACAACTTTAAATGCATTGAGAACAAGAAACAGAATAAACAGTGAGAACCTAAGCATGGGTGAAATGAGGAGAGGGAATTAAAGGTGATACAGGTGTTGTAGCCCTAGAAGTTGAGAATAAAAACCCATTAAGGAAGAATTACTCAGAGCTAAAACTCACACAAGCAAAGATGTGAATATCCTTGTGTGTGAGAGGAGGGAAGAGGTGGGTAGAAAGAAGCCTATAAGAATCTAATGGGGTTTATTATGCAGGGAGAAATAGTAATATTTAATAAGAGACAAGCCATGAATAGATAATTCTTACCATATGCTTAAACTGTGGCCATCTTAAACCTTGGATACCTTTGAAAGCCTTTGCTGATGAAGTCACGCTGATGATGCATTCTCCACCTGTACCTCCTCTGAATGGAGAAAGCACTTACCAGCAAAAAGCTGATTTGAATATCATTTAAATGAGTTCCCTAAGTAGAAAATGTTGTACTGGTAGAAGACTTGTACTAGTATAATCCTATCTATAGTAGGATTTTTGTGTTTATAATTATGTTGCTTGCAAGTGTAAAGGCTTTTCCCTTTGTATCTCTAAGACAGCTATGCCAACAGAAGCTGTGAGTGTAGGTCATGCCTCATTGGCTTTGAGCGAAACCACAGTGCTTATGGAGATTTCCTGAAAACTGTCTCCAAATTCATTTGCATCCTTTTAATGGCAGACATTAAGAGTGAGAGGTAGCTGTCTGTAGTTGCATCAGCAGAAAAGAAGGTTGATAAAAGTCTTAATTCCTCCCATGTTCTGGGGAGAACTATGCTCTTAATTCCTTGCAAGGAATTTTCTCTGATCACAAGCAGATGCTTCAATTTATGGTAAGAAGAATAAAGCCTCTATTGCTTTCACTGCCTGCACTTTTATCCCTTGCCAGAAATGAGTCTAGTAGTGCACAAAAGTGAATAGCAGGCTTGGATTTCATCACCGGGAAGGTAATCACAGTCTGAACAGGTCAATAAAGTGCTTGGCGTATTGTTTCTTACTAGCTGGTACAGATGTGAAAATGTCGTGATTGAACATTAATCTGATTACAAAGTTCTGGCAAATCACTCTCCTGCCTGCGTAGTTGGTTTTTGCATTACACCTGTGGGTGACAACTACATATTTATGAAATGGGTTATAATTGTGACAGCCAAAATTAAAGTGATCTGTGGGGCCTATGAAATCCTTCATGGAATCAGGGAAAGCCCCTATTATGCTTAGAAATGAGTCCAAACCTGGTGTGTGAGTCAGAATTCAGCTTTGGGCAGCTCCAAGGTTTTGATGTGAGATCCTCTTTTAACAGGCTTTTGGCTTACACTAAGGGGCTGGTGATATCTGGCAGACAGTGCTGCCCTTTTCATCTTGCTTTTGTTTGTAGTCCTTTGGGGAAAGGGCTAAAATATTCAGAATATAACCTTTCTAAGCATTCTTGGTAGCGTGCTCGGAAATGTGGAAGGATTATTTGATAGATGGTTTTCAGCATTCTGGTGCCCACAGAACCATGGCTAATCTTTCTAATCTTCTTTATCTAAGGTAATCTGTATATTATATCCTCTGCATCTATGTAACTTATGCTGAAACTGCACTGACAGGAAGCTCTAAAATTCCTATTTTTGTTTCTTTCCAACAGCTGGCTGTCCGGACTCCTTGATTAAAGAGCTTCATCACTTCAGGATTCTAGGAGAAGAACAGGTGAGTTAGCAGCTCAAAGGCAGCGTCTTAATGTCATGAAAGATAGACGCTAATGAGACAGTTTCATCTCTCTCGAGGGAGGCAGAGTGTATCTCATGACCCCCACTGACCTGAAACGTGGGGAAAAAAACACACAGGAGATATATGTGAGATTTTTTTTTTTTTTCCCATTCTATCCATCAGCCTTGACAGGTTATTAATTGGTACATCTGCTACCTGCCACTGCGTTTTGGCTTTCGACTACAGCAGTAAACAGGCTCTCTATAGCAGCAGATAGACAAATAATCTAAGGGATTGATACTTACAACTACTCATTATATTATCCGTCTCTTTTTGTGGCCTTTTTTCTCTTTTAAAAGTGTGTTTCTCATTCATAGTTTTGGCTGTGCTTTGCACTCAGAAAACTATTTCTGTAGAGGGATCTTAGGAAAGCATAAGTGAAGTATGCTCCACAACACTCAAAAGATGGTCATAGATATTATTTTGTCAATAATGAAATTAATGTACAGAGATACTGAGAAAATGCCCTTAAATTTTGAAAGACAAGTTGAATTTTCAAATGCTCAATGATTCTGAAATTCAAGTTGTCTTTGTTTCTGAAGTATCTCTCCTAATGCACTGCTTATAAAAGCCTAACTGCCTGACATAGGGTTGCAAATACTAGAAGCTGAAGACCTGAAAGCTTAGTATTACTGTGTTGTACATGAGAATATCTGCATCTTTTAATGAACCTGGCACCAAGGGACTTGTACAAGGTTATATGAGGGCTGTGACAGACATAGGAGCAGTTCCTGAAATGTTAATTCAAAGTCTGGTTTATTAGTTTTTAGATCAGATTATATTGTCAAGAACACCCTGTTGCTTCTCCTTTCCCTTTTTTTATTAGTTAGGGCTGCTGGTATATTTTATAGTCTTCCAGTTATCCTCCACCAGTCATCCACTTGAGTTGTTATAGAAAGTCAAAAACCAAATTCCTCAGGGACTCAGCTTTTCCTCAGCAATAAGGCAGTATGAAGGGAGTGTAGCAGGTTTTCTCTGGCAGGAATGGAAAAAATTACAGAAAACAGACTAGGCCAAAGAAGATACTAGAAGCAGGAATCTGGTGAGATTGAGGATTTAGGAAGAGGAAATAAAAAAAAATATGGCCAGGATTGATGAAGCCAAGAGACTGGTTAGAGCCAAATGACAAATAGAGGGCAGAGTAAGATGAAGCTTCAGGGCACTTGGAGACACTGGGCTGGTGAAAAAGGGTAGGTATAGAAACCAGAATGGTAGGGATAAGGGTCTGACAAGGAGCTGGGACCAAGGACTGGAAGGAAATGACCAAATATGGAAACTTGATAAAAAGACTGGTAAATAAAGGAAGATCTGTATGTAATGAGCTGCATGAGGAGGTGAAGTTAAGCATAGTAGGAGGAGTGGGACAAAGAGATTTGAAGGAAAAAGTAGGGAATGCCTAAACCAAGAGACTGTAAGTATGAGGGAGAGGGCTGAACCAGACAGAGTTTGGTAGCTCTACTGGCAGAGCTCTGAGGATGGAGTTGTAGACCTCAGCCTTGATAATAATCACTAACAGAGCAATATAATTTAATTGATGGACTTCCTTTTTTTTCTGTTTGATTTTTAGAAAAGGAAGTGGTAGATATAAAAATGAAGGCTGAAGAATTAAGAGTGCAAATGAGGAATTCAGACACTAGGAAATGTCAGATTTAAGATTGTTCATGTAATCTTAATACTTTCTTTGTTCCACTCACCTACCCTTAGACCATTGCACTAAGAGTATCAAATTAAATGGTCATACAAATCTCAAAAGTGGGATCATGTAAAACACGAGGAACAACAAAAGAAAAGATAATTAATTTCTGTCCAATACTAAGAGAAGTCTAGAAGAGAGTAGAGGAGTTTGATGAGGAAAGCCCCACTAATCAAATACATACAGTATTTTTGCCACTTGGAATATTTTTGGTATTCTTTCGGACTTTCATGACAAAATTACTACTCTTTGTATAGAATACACCTAAATGGATGAAAAATTTTTGTCATCATGCATTAGGAGCACAAAACTATGCAGATATAAAGTTGTTCTGCAGAATGGATCTGACCTATAAGCATTTGCCTTTCTCTGAAACTGGCTACACCAACAGGTTATTTGGATACAGTGGTTATCATTACAGTCTTAACTAATGTCTTTGCAAGTGATGAACATTTTAATGAGGCTTGAATTATTCCATAAACCCATACAACTCTAAAGAATATTGCAATTATATTCCATCCCTACAAAAGCATTGTTATAATGAGTCTACTGATGATGGCAGTAGCTCTTGCTTCAAGTTAGCACATACTTTCACAGATAGTGAGAATTTGGTGCAAAATCAAAGTAAAAAAAATTAAATCTAAATGAAGAAATAAACTAATTTCAGGAAAAGTCCTTATTCACATGGATAACTAATTTTTTCTTATATTTCTTTAGTTATATATTTGCGTTTTAAAAAGATCCAAAGTGTGTCTTTTTCTATTACCATGCATACTAGATAGCAAAAATATCATAATTAATTATAACGGTTTTAATCAGACTACTTAAAATTTCAGTATTATCAACAACATACATGTTATACCACTGCAAGCAACAGTCAAAGAGTAATAGGGGCAAGTTACTGCTTCATGTCCAATCTTGATTTATTTTTAAAATGCTTATGTATTTAAAGCCAGATTTAAAAAGTAGAATGGACTATTGTGATAATCTGTTCTGATCTCCTTTAGAATACACATTACATGACTTTCCTGGATTAATTCTTGTTTAAACTGGAGTATATTGCCTAGAAAAACATCCATTCTTTGTTTACAAATCACTTGCAGACATTAGATCCTATTATACCTCTCAGTAGCGAATGACAAAAAATTTCCAGCCTCTTTTCTTTCTGCCACTCTATCAGGACCAGTATCCTCCCTACATTGCATATCTTCTATCCCCCAGTGTCCAGATCATTTACATTTCCAGTTCCCTTTGTCCTGTCACAAGGCTATAGGTGATCATCATAATCAAAAATTACTTCAACCTATGGATGCATTTCAGAAAAAAAACACCATTACCCTGAAACAGGACTAAAACAATTGCGTATACAGCAAAAGGAAGTCTGTTCGTTAGACAGACTGTCAGCTAAATATGTTTCAGACAGAATAAAGGAACCTTTCAGTTTGAAGTGGACACTCCCACTGGAACTTGTGGGTTCCAGTTAAACCAACGGCTACCCAATAAGGAATATAATTTCCCTCCTGGAGACTTCTATATATGCATCTAAGAGGTGCTTTAGTGCTTTTGGATGTGGATGGACATAGTTCAGATCCAGCTCATGATCCATCACACTGCTTCCCAGACAGAAATCCCTTTCTGCAATTGTGGGTAATAGTTTCTTCCTAGAAAAATAACTTTACATGTGGCTGTGCTGAAAAATAAGTTGTTTGTTTAAACCTAGTTTATCCACAGTTCAGATACCCCTGTAACATGAACTTAACTGTCCATGTTACATGTTCATTACTTCCTCTTCTCAAATTGCGTACAATCTTTATCACTGATATTCTGTTCTTGGTTTTCTTCCAAGTCATTGATAAAAATTTTAGATGGCATAAGGCCATGAATCAATACTTTCAGGACCGTTTTGGAAGCACACTTGCTTAATAATGATTGCCCATTTATAATTATGTTTTAGACGTGCCAGACAACTAAGTTTTCATCCTCTTAATATGTGGCAGGCATCAGCAAGACAAATGCCTTACCGAAGTCTGCTTCATCAACTCTCTTACTTTTATCAACCAAATTTCAGTCAAATTAAAATGAAGCAACTGTTCCTAGTACAAACCCCTGGTGTCTACCTTTTGTTCATCAAGTATTTGTTTCCTGTAAATACTGACCATATATAATTTTTGTTTATGTCATTAAGAGAGAAATGTTTTGAGCATCTTGTAGGATCAAATTACTCAAAACCATGTGTCTACCAGTCTGTCTGTCTATCCAAATAAAATGTTTCTTTATCTAAGGCTAAGCATTAAAGGAAAACTAATGCTCAGAAAAAAAGGCTTTTTGTTTAACTTGAAGCATGAAGAGTTGCTCATTAATATTTCCTAAAAGGAGTCCTTTAATAATAAAACAGTTGTCCAAATAGTCAAACTTCTCTGTACTCTCCTGAACATGGAAAACTCTCATATCTTTTTTTCCCTCAGAAACATACATTATGGGAAATTCATTCTAGCTGGAAAGTCTTTTAAAGTTTAGTTGGAGGCAACAAGATTCTAAAGAGGCAATTGTTTTTAGACTTTATGGAAAGAGGTGGTCATAGTCTGCATAGTAAATTAGAAGAGTACAAGCTTCCCTGGTACATGATATGCATTGTGTATACCTAACTTACCACATAAAATCAGCTTCCAGAGTAAATGGTTTAATATGCAACACAAATATATTTAGCAACAGATTGCTACCCTACTTGATACTTGACCCTTTGAGAAGGTGCCAGAGATCCTGACCTAGAAAAGTCTCCAAAAGCAGCCTTGACTGGTTTAGTTTGGATCTCCTTTTCACAGACCTTCCCAGTGCACAAAGGTCTGTACAAGATAGAGAGTTTCCTGGATGTGCAGCTCTAGGAAAGATAAAACATGAAGCCTCCTAACTGTCCTTAGCTCTGTTGAGCTTTTTCTTGCAATTTGATCTCACTGTTCATAATCCATCATTTTCCCCTAGCATAATGGATGCAGTCCAACCTGCTGGCTAACTGCTTCATTTCATAGATACCTGAGATACATTCAGGATTGGGATGAAAGATTTATTAACTAGGGAGCTACTGAAAAATAGCACAATATAAGAAAGTTAGTCTCCTGTGGTAGCTATTTGCCTGTCAGTCTGGCTGTCTCTGCTAGTAAATGCAAATGGTTCTACAAGTGGTGATAGTACAAGCTGCTTACAAAAATGTTAAAGGTGCACTAAGTATGAGCTCTGTCCAAATACAGTG